TGCAACTATCCTTAGGATATGAAATAAAGTTAAGAAAGTTAATCACATCCTCCTTAATTCAATTCTTATAAGGAAGAAGAAGAAGCAGCAGCAGCAGCAGCACACACACAGAGAGAGAGAGAGAGAGAGAGAATAAAAAAAGAAAGAGAAAAGGAAATAGAAGAAGATTTTTTCAAACAAATATAAAAAAAAGATGAGGAAGAAACCAATAATAAAGACCGAGTTGAAGAGAAATTGAAACAACAACAACAAAAGGAAAAATTAAAACAAAAGAATAATAGGAAGAGACATGAGAGAACCGAAACAAATAAGAAGAATAAGAGAGAGATAGAGAGAAAGAAACACGCATAGAGTTAGAGTGTGAACATTACAACATGAAAATGAGGGCTGAGTTGCAGATACAAGTTAATGGAAGTCGTTTCACCAACTTTTTGTTTTTCAAATGTTCACTCAAAATGATTTTCTTAACATAAGTAACCATGGATTTTCGATTACAGATATAAGAATATCTTAAGAGGTTGATTATTAAATTTTTTTTAAAAACCTTGGGATGGAAAATCTATATAATTTAGGCATATTTTTAACTAATACTACTATATTAAAGGGGTTTTACTTTGAGGTGGTAATCACCCATGTTAGCCTCACTCTCAGTCCATTACCAATCCATCGATCTAGTTCTAGATCTACACGGATCTAGTTGTTTGAAAAATCAACTCCAAATGACTACAAGCAACATTGTTTTCTAAATCTCGCCCTTACTTCTCCACATCTCTTTATCTCTCTGTCTCTCAAAGTAGATTTGCTACAAATTCATTTATCAATCTTTCTTGTTCTGTATGTGTGTAGAGGGGTGTCTTGTGACAAAGTGAGCGAACCAGATTTGTCGACCGCAATTTTTTTTATTTTTTAAACAAATTAGATTGATAAAGTTATCACTGAATGTATTTTTAATAAATTTCAGTGAAAAAATCATCAAACTAGAATTTGTTGCATTATTCGTATGTTTTTGTGTGTGTGCGTGTTTGTGTTTTCTATTAGTGAATAATAGTGAGTGAGTTGCGTAAGGATCCTCTAGAGTAATCCCTCTAGAGTGATCTCCTAAAGTGGATAATCGGACGGCTGATATTAATACTCACAAAAACGACGTTGTTTTGGTGAGTATTTTCAACAAAAAAAAAACAATAATGATAGAGACCACTAATTTTGGAGCTCTAAAAAGACCACTAATGACATGGCACTCAATAAAAAAAGAAAAAAAATACAACACCAAGGCCAAAACATCAAATCATTCCTGGTGAGGCCCACTGCCACATCATTAGTGATAGCACTAATTAGTGCTCTCACTCATTTTCCAAAAAAAAAATCAGATTTTTCGATTTCAAAATTCCCCCCAAGCTGAAGAGGTATATCAGACGAGCGGGAAGAAGCAGAGGCGCGAAAGAAGGAGAGAGGGAAGAAGCTCCGTCGTGCATCCCGTCGGCCAACCGAGTCACCCTGCTGTCGCCGCCGTCGTGCATCCCGTTGAACTCCATAGAACAGAACAGGTACAAAGATCTTCTCTTTCCATAAATCTATGTATGTATATATGTATATATGTCTATGGATTCGTTTGGCTGCTCGGAAAATGTCAAGTGTTGTTTGTTCGTTGCTAGTGATTTTGATTTCCTTTTCAGTTCCTTTGTATGGATTGATTGTTGTTTAATGTTTCATTCCAATGGGAGTGACCTAGTAGGGAATCTTCCAGATTTTATTGAGTAGTGTTTTTTAGTTTATCTGCAGATTTGATTTGATTAATTTTTTTATTTTATTTTATTTTTTTCTTTGCAATTACTGGAAGTTTCTTGATCTGTCTAAAAGGATTAGCCTTAAATTAAAGCTTTGGTGATGTATAGTTGATGAGAAGTAACCTGACAGTTGAAAATTTTGAAATTGAAAAATCTGATTTTTTTTTTTTGTTTTTTGTTTTTTGAAAATACTCACCAAAATGACGTCGTTTTGGTAAGTATTAATATCAACCGTTTGATTATCCACTTTAGGAGATCACTCTAGAGGATTACTCTAGAGGATCGTTACGCGTGTTGCTCTCTCTGACTCTATCTCACTCCTCTCTACCGACTGTACTTTTTACACAAATTCGACCGATAAATTTATCACTAATAGTTTATCAGTGGAGAACACACATTGATTCCTATGTTAATCGTGATGGTAAAGACTAGGGGGAACTATTTTTTAGTGAGGCCTTCCTTTTTTTCTCCTCCTATTTTTCCTTCCCACTTTCTCTTGTCACGATTACATCAGAGGATGTTAACGTTGTTTTTGCCAAAAAATGACCAAAGGAATATGAAAAATTATTGCCGAAGGTCAAGAGTGGTCTCCAAGAGTCAGAGCCAGCGGCCAAAGGTGGTCGTTGGTATCTGATGGTGAAAGGTGATCATCGCTCGCTGTCAGTGTTGGGGACTGTAGTAGTGGCCTTATGGGTGACATGAGGGAATTTTAAGGATGTTGATAGTTTGAAAAAGGTATAAGTAAAAAAGTATGATCAATAAATTCGGCATGTAAGTGCACCAAATTCCAAAATTAATAGTCTCTTTTGGATTGGGTCATGTGTAATTTACCTCTCTAACGTTTAGAAACAACTATATAACTCTTATGTGGTTTGTGAACTGAAGTGCACTGTTAAACATCATATCCAACTTAACAGCAAGTGTTAAACGCGTAGCAGACATAAAGAGGTTATATGCTCATTTTCAAAGTTCAAGGAAGTAAATCGCACATAAATAAAGCATAGGGGGGGGGTTAAATCGCACATGAAATAAAATACAGGAAGTTAAAGTGCACTTTGCCTTTCAAATAAATGACAAAAATATAAGGATATTTTAATCTTTTTCATTAAATCGTTAATGGACCTAATGTGCACTTTAATCCACAAACAACAAGGGAGTTGTGTGGTTATTTCCAAGAATTAGGGGGTAAACTATACATGATTCGAGGGGTGTAAAGTGAAGTGTGCCCAAATTAATAAGAGGGGTGTAAAGTGAAGTGTGCCCAAATTAATAATCTAATAATGTTAAATCTCATATAATCCAATTCGCTCAAACAACGGGGCTTAATGATTAGCTTTATTATGATAATCGGATTGGGTTTCTTAACCTCATGAGTTGGAAGATGGCGTAATGGTTACATGTAGTTGTATCCTTTGGATGATGAGAAAGTTATAAGTTTTTGAGTTGGGGTCAATGGAGCAATTGCATGGCCCAATAGTTTATGTAGCTATATCTTTTTAGACAATAAGAAGGTCAGAGGTTATTAGTTCAAATAAATAGAGTAATTATAACCTTTTCATTGTAATCTAACTTGCTAAATCTTATAAACTTTTGCTAGCAAAGATTAAAAATGTACTTATAGAACTTTTCGGACATGTTTGGAGACAATATTTTGAGCTTTGTAAACAAAATTGTACACTATATATTTGATGAAAACACACAACAGAAATGCGCCTGTAGCTCAGTGGATAGAGCGTCTGTTTCCTAAGCAGAAAGTCGTAGGTTCGACCCCTACCTGGCGCGAACTTTACATTGTTTTCCTTATTGTTTTATCCTTCTGACTTGTGAGAGACTTGTTTTTTGTCTTCAAATACAGTTGTTTTGTATTTCTTTTTTTAATTTCTTCCCCAAAACATTTGCTTTTGTTTCAGTTCAAAACTGTACTATTGCCGGCTTATTAAAAACTTATTTGGAATTGACTCATTATGTAAAATACATTTCAAAATTCATTATTAAGTACTACACAAGATCAGCTCGATTAAAACATTTTTAAAGTCAATTCAAAAGGTACACGAGTCACACTTAAATACATTTTGAAACTTACTTAAATTTTCAAAATAAATTTGAATAACCAACTACTCAGCATGAGGGGAAGCCTTGTGTCCCACATTGGGTGCGGTGGCTTTGTGGGTCCATTCTGTCTCTCATCCCCTCCTTGATGTGGAACAATAAGTTCAAATTGACCTAACCATAGAGCTTTTTTTCAGCCTTTTGGATCACAACAGAACTAATCATGATGCGATTACCTCTGACGAGAGAGAACAAGCACAAGACCACAATTTCACAACACAAGTTTCGAGTGATGGCAAAGTCCTTGTTTCAGTATTCCAACTAATTTACAAAGCAAAAAATGAACAAAAGTAATACACGGTGCAACCACAATTATAACATTGGTCCATAACAAATGGATCAAAAACATTGTTTTTCTTAACTAATTTGAATCACTGTAACCCATTAAAAGTATATATTTTTTCGGAAAATGGACATTATGTTGATGCATGTCATTGCTGTCAAAGACACACAAACAAAGAAACTGAAAAAATTGTCTCCCACATTTGTCTTGAATTCCAGCACAACTCACTGGAAGATCCAAATCCTACGTAGTTTATGTTTTTCTAAAAATAAACAAAAAATAAACAAAAACTAATTTATAAAATTTTTGTAAATATAAATTGAAAACGTAAACGTTACCAAATACACCATTTGTATTTCTTTTTTTAATTTCTTCCCCAAAACATTTGCTTTTGTTTCAGTTCAAAATTGTACTATTGCCGGCTTATTAAAAACTTATGTGGAATTGACTCATTATATAAAATACATTTCAAAATTCATTATTATGTACTACACAAGATCAGCTCGATTAAAACATTTTTAAAATTGATTCAAAAGGTACACAAGTCACACTTAAATACATTTTGAAACTAACTTAAATTTTCAAAATGAATTTGAATAACCAACTACTGAGCATGAGGGGAAGCCTTGTGTCCCACATTGGGTGCGGTGGCTTTGTGTGTCCATTCTGTCTCTCATCCCCTCGATGTGGAACAATAAGTTCAAATTGACCTAACCATAGAGCTTTTTTTCAGCCTTTTGGATCACAACGGAACTTATCATGATGCGATTACCTCTGACGAGAGAGAACAAGCACAAGACCACAATTTCACAACACAAGTGTCGAGTGATGGCAAAGTCCTTGTTTCAGTATTCCAACTAATTTACAAAGCAAAAAATGAACAAAAGTAATACATGGTGCAACCACAATTATAACATTGGTCCATAACAAATGGATCAAAAACATTGTTTTTCTTAACTAATTTGAATCACTGTAACCCATTAAAAGTATATAATTTTTCGGAAAATGGACATTATGTTGATGCATGTCATTGCTGTCAAAGATACACAAACAAAGAAACTGAAAAAATTGTCTCCCACATTTGTCTTGAATTCCAGCACAACTCACTGGAAGATCCAAATCCTACGGACTTCTATTCATCAAAGGTGCTCATGAATCCACCAAGAAAGCCAGCTCCATTACACTCCCCACACAAAATCTCCTTTTTACCTCTGCAAGGAAAAAAAAAATCAAATAAGCACCACCCCGATGTGCTGGAAAAGTTGACATGGAGCGGGCTTGTTGTGGAAGTTACTATATATATATATACATATCAAATCCCATTAAAGTCAGATGTGGTTCATTCGAACCAGGGGGCATAGTTATGATCTTCAAAATATGAGATTTTTATGCATTTGTAGTTCATTCCAACTAAGGGGCATATAGTGATATTCAACACATAAGATCTTCATTACAGAAATCATCATACTGACCGCAGTGGAGTGTATGGAATTCAAAAGGCAAGGGGTTTTGCAGCGCACATAGAGTACTTTTCCTTCACTTGTCTCAACAAGAAACAGATCGGCAATTGATGGGCATCTATCAACATTTTTTTGGGCGAATAGGCATCTATCAACATGATTGGACATTGTGCCTCATCAATTGCCGATCTATATATATAGCTGACTGTTTCTAGAAAGCAGCCTCCCAAATTTTGAAGGATGATAGTACTGGATTTTCTTTTCCTTTTTTTTTCTTATTACAATTTGTAAAATTTCATGTCAGCCATTGCAATTATGCGACCTAAACTAGGGAAAAAACAGATGAGGCAAAAGAATTGATGAGACTTATCTTCTCAATGGGTTCCAAAAAGACAATTTGTAACACATTATATAATGCGACAGTGAGTCTGCATTCCTGATCAATTGTTAAATAAAGTTATCTATCTTCTTCACTTGCAAACAAAATCAGATGTCAAATTTTCTAGAGCCATTTCCTCTATCCAGTTTTGCTGAGAACAACTAAATCAGAGCCTAGATTCATTGGAGTCAATTTACAGTTCCGGCCAATTTTTGGTCAGCTACTTTACAAAGTTCCACAAATTATTGTCAATCTTGAGCAGGACCGAAATGTTAAAAGCATAAAATAAAACCACCAAGCCTGACCAATCCTCTCAGGAAATGATTGAGATTACTAAAATAAAAGAATTATTCTAGCATGTACTTAAGTGGTTCCACATGAAAGCCAAAAAACGAGAAGAATAATAATAATAATTACCTGCACAGCCAACATAATCCACCAGCTTTAAACCGTCCATTGAAGTGATCTACAGAGTTGACTCCATTACCTTCACATTGTGGACACAGTATAGCACCTGATAGTTGGATAAAGAACAACAACCGCTTTGAGCAGGTATTCCAATTCTAGACAAGGAAAATCATCATAGCCAAATTTTATTTTTATTTTTGCTCTATAGGTTGTTACATATATCTAAGGAGAATTTTGGTTGACGAATGAAGAATCTCCTGTAGGATGTGTTGAATGACAAGAAGGTTCCAGAAGATTGAGACTAATAAAGAACAATTCTGACTAACCAACATGGAAGAATTGCTTGGGTACTGGCAAAGACATGATCTGACTCTAAAAATAAAAAAAAAGAAAAAAAAAAAGAATGATTCTTCAAAATTCGAACATTATTCTTTTCACCCAAGTAAAACATCTCTCTCATGCCAAACATTTATCTAAGCTTTTTTTTTTTTTTTTTACCAGGCCAGTAGGGCATATGGAGCATAACTTGTTCAAGGAACATGTCCAATAAAGGAGCTAGGCTCAATTAGTTTGATAGTTATTCCAGATTAGACACTCGTAATTCTAACTATCAGATAGTAAGAATATGAAAGAAGCAATTACAATAGGGACAAAAACAAACTTTCAGCCACCCAATAACCCAAATCTGGTATGAGGATTTTGACAAATTCAGAGGCATCAAGTTTGTGGTAAGACACCAAACCGGTCTTCTCTTTATGAAGAACAAGCATGTGGTACAATTATGAAGTAAAAGTTTAAAAAAGTGTACAATTATGAAGAATAAAGAAAGAAAGACAGAAAGAGAGGAGAAGAAGAAGAAGAAGAAGAAGAAGGAAAAAAAAATAAAAATAAAAAAAGGGAGAAAATATTGAAGAAAAAGTTTATGTTTATACTCCACCTGCACTTCCATACCTGATGAACAAGCATGTGGTACAATTATGCCACAAATTATCTCAACTAGTAATTTGTAACTATCAGTGGAATGAGCATTAGCAGTTTATAAAGGTTTGTGTTGTTTCTTCTCTTAATTAGACATATATCTCTTAAACCTCAAACAACCATCGTGTTACGAAATCGGTCCAACAATGTATCCCAAGATCATGCACCCTACGTCACATTCGAACCAAACGTGGAGTGACAAACTAAAATAAACTCAACTGAACAGATTAACATAAAAGTTGAACTGGACATGGAAAACAAATAATCAAAGCAAGGAGTGCACAACAAGAAACATAAAACAGGGAAACAGCTAGATACAATGAGATGTGACTGCAGGACCTCATAAAACCAAAGCTTCAATAGGACCAATACAATGTCAACAATCAACTGATCAAAAAGCATAAGCTAATCAATATTAATTATCTACAAAAAATATATCAAAGAATAAGCAATGTTGCCGAACACTTCCAAAATTCACTCCAAATTTATCAATTTATGACTTTCTTGAATCAGTAAAATATAAGAAATAACATATCAGCGTCAGCCTACTGATCACAGATCAAACTGCTGAGAAAATTAATGTCAATAATAATTGCTAAGATTTTATCTTAAAGTAAATTTAGAAGACAATAGAGATGAAATCACCAGATAACAATCATTCAACTTACCATTTCCTTCACATTTAGCACAAACTATGCTATTTTGTTTGGTGCTTTGGTTACTATCTGTAGCCTGTAAAAGCAATGAGATACTTAAAGCCCATGAATGCAAAGCAAGTAAAATAAAAGAAGAAAAGTAATACTACACTCCCTAGTGCAATTTTAGCATCAGTAAAATCAACATTGATGACTTGCTCCAAAGAAACTTTAAAATTGTAGTCCAGATATGACATCTTGAACCCCGTGCTTACTTCTAATTATGAAGCAATCACAAGTTCTCTTTCCAGTTGAAAAAACTACTAGACAATTCTCCCTCATCGTGCATGGATTGAAGCAACATTAAATGTTTCAGGAAAGAGTTTCAACAAATTATGCTGATTCCTGTCTAGGCTCTGGTCCAACTTTACATTTGGTGCACTCACGTTGTTAATACGTTGTTCTCCACTATTATGCAAGTTAGAACATATGTTCATTAAACTTGAAACTTAGGCATCAATGGCTACAATATCTACAGGTCAAAAGGATGTCTTCACTCCATTCATCCTTTCATCAGGAAACTTACTCCTCAATAATCCAAAGATGTTTAATCAAAATTAGAAAAGAAACTGGTGACTTATTGGTATCTTGGTAATCAATCTGAACCATTATTCTTTTGCTCCACTCTTAGTATTAAAAATGGAAAATGCTAATGACGGCCCAATGGCTGGTAAATGGTCATTAGCCTTGATATGTGTGTAAAAAGTGTATATTAGTCTATTAGATAAGCAGGTGTTTAGAAATGAGTGTAAAATGTATTGAAATTCTAACTACTTTGTCATTATCTCCACCTTAATGACACCCTTATGGCAGGACTGTTATTAGCACGGCCTTAAAAAGTATAGGGCAAACTTCACTTTACCCTCTTGAGGTTTGGGCCATGTGCAGTTTACCCTTAACGCTTGAAAATGACCACATAATCTCTACATGATTTGTGGACTGAAATGCAACATTAAACATTCCGTCCAACTTAATAGCAAGTGTGAAACACGTGACAGACATAAGGGGGTTATATGTTCATTTTCAAAGTTCAAGGAGGTTAATCGCACATGGAATTAAGTACCGTGAATTAAAGTGCATTTTGCCTTCTAAACAAATGATGCAAATACAGTCTTTTTCATTAAATCATTAACGGACTTATCAGTACACTTCAGTCCACAAACCATAAAGGATTATGTGGTCATTTCCAAACATTAGGGTAAACCGCACATGCCCAAAACCACGGGATAAAGTGAAGTTTGCCCAAAAGTATATGTACTATGTTTGTATTAGTTCACCTAAGTATAAAAGCTAGCTATTGATTCCAACGCATACCTTCGTATTCCTAATTCAGCAGTCACAGCTATTACATCCCTAGTTAAGTTTATGCAGACAAACAAATGGGTCTGAGCCAATTATAAACATTGTGCCAAAGCATTGCAAGTTCATACTTGCGCAAAGAAACAATTTTCAACATTTCAAACCAAACAAAACCTTACTTTAGCCTCAAACGATTGAAATTTAGTATTTTTACAGTTCTGGGTTATGCCATTCATCCAAATAAGCTTCCGAGCAGTGGAATTGCCAACAACAAGCCCTACAAAACCATACATACTGATTAAAATAAAAAGATTATACTAAGAAACAGAAAAGGAACAAAATTAAAACATACTAGGGGTTTGGAGGTGGGGAAAAGAAGAAAAAGAACAAAAGAAAAAGGAAAACTGTTATGTACAAAATAGAGGAATATATACCTGGTTTGTTGGGGGGATTGAGGGAAGTGAGAGGTGTGAAACACAGTGAGTTGGCCATTTCTTTTAGGAATTTAAATTCTTTCTATGTGAAGAATTGAATTGAATTGAAAAGGAACCAGTGACCACTGTTGGACTCTGCTGGCTGAAGCTGCACAAAATATAGATAAGGCTCCCCCCCAAACAAGGCCTAAGAGAAGTGTCTTGTATCTTTACCAAAATATCCTTTGTTATTCAACCTTTTTCTTTTCTTTTCTTTTCTTTTCTCTTTTTTCTTTTTTTTTGTTTTGTTTTTTGTTTTTTTTTGTTAAACTACAAATACAACTTTTGACATTTGTTTAAAATATAAGTTGCTCTTTATAATTTAAAAAATTACAAATATCTTTTTATCAAAAAATTATTTAACAAAATTTACTAAAAATAAATAAAATTCATAACTATTCTCCTATACAATGATACAATAACCAAAATTATTAATTGAAATAAATTTCTAACATCATTAAAAAATTATTAATTGTCTTAATAATTTATTAATAAAATGGGCAGACCATTTGTTATGAAATTAGAAACTTTAAAGGTTTGGAAACAGACTATTTTAGTAATTTTTTTAACTTTTTATAAAAAGATGTGCAGAAAAATAGAGACAGTGATGTGATAATTTATAGTGATTTTTTAATTTTTTAACTAAAATTATTAGTCCTCAAACGAGACCAAACAAATCTTAAGAGTGTATTTATAATTCACTATTTTTTTTAACAATTTCAAACAAAAAATTATTATTTACTCCCAATCGTGACACAAAACTCACAAATTAATGAAATATATGATGTTATTAAAATTCATATTTCAGAAAACAATCAAATTAGAAAGGAAAAAAAAATGCAATGAAAAAATGAGTCGGAAGTGTCATATGATTTAAGAGCAAGGATCTTCTAGAGTGATTTTTTCCTAAAGTTTCCTAGAGTGCTACATTGTGTGGTTGAGATTTACTGACAAGTCACATCAATTTTTCTGATGTGACTTGCCAGTAAATCTCAACCACACAATATAGTACTTTAGGAAACTTTAGGGAAATTTCACTCTAGAGGATCCTTGGTGATGATTTAAATGGTAGTAGAGTTAGGAACCAATTGTGTGGGAACAAATATAATGTAATTTTCTATCAATATATATATATATATATATAAAATAAATTTATATATACATATGTTGATTTGTGAATAGATTGGAAGTTTTTATTTTACAGGTTACCAACCCAGCAATTTTTATCATATAAAACCACTCAAACCAACCCCTTCACAAACTGGGCAAATTGGCATTGGTTTAGTTTTAAAAATAATTTTGTGAAAAAAAATTTAAAATTTCAAAACTTATTTGGTTATGAATTTTCAAAACTAATTTTTGAGTTTTTTTGGATCTTATTTTTTCTCTCGTGGTCAAAATTTTTTTGTAATATTATAATCAAATTTGTTTACTTCTTTAAAATACCTAATCTAAATTTACTTTTTAGATGCATCTAATATAATCTATAGGGCAAAATTTCATTCAATATTTTATATTTTTTTACAAACGTTTTAAAATTTTGAACACTTCTTTTCTAATTTTATATCCACTCAATTTACATGTATTTAAAACGTTTCAAATTTAAATGTAACTATTTATAAAATTACTAAATAATAAAAAATATATATAATAAAAAAATTTGAGCTAGTTTTAAAATGAATACAACTTTAATATTTTGTGTATTTATTAAAATTGTTTTTGAGTTCTTCATATCTTGTTTACTATTTAAGTCTTATCCATTTTATATACATCTAAAATATAAAAAATTATTTGGTCAACACTTGAAAATTAAAAAAATTAATCTAAAATATAAAAAATTATTTGGTCAATACTTGAAAATTAAACAAAATCAATTTTGTGAAAACCTAAACTCTTGTTGCTAGGACTTTTGTGGTTGTCACTCTCACGCTCTCAATCTATCTACTTTTCGAACACCTCTCCGCTTACAAAAATCCTGAGATCTCTTCTCTCTCCACCTTTTCTTTGTCATTTCCATGATTAAATTTTTGTTATACCATCTGTTTTATTTGAATTTTTCGGTTTTGGGTTTTCTTTGACAGGAGCAAAATTCTTTATTGGGGTTATCTTGATGGTTCTTTGCTATGTTGTTGAATCAGTGAATAATCTTGAGTTTTTGACTGATTTTGAGATGATTAAAGTTATTGCTTTTATGATCCATGACTCGAACATGTATATTGATCACTATATATATATATATATACATATGCTAGTGATTACAGAAAAAGAAAAAGTAAAAAAGAGGACGGTTCTTTTTGCCTGCACAAAGACCCTTCTCTATATTTATATATAAATGGGTTTTTCTATAGTTTTTTGTTTATGTGCTTAAATGTCACTGTAGAAATTGGCTCTGATGATTAGTCCAGAGAAATTTCATGTTAGTCGAGAGAAATTTGTGAAAGGTTTAAAGGTTTTTGATGTTAGTTCACAAATCTAGAGAAATTTGGCTAAAGTGAACCTAGAGAAATTTGAATTTTCTCTGGGTTGAATCCATAGATATTCTTTGGGAAGTCCAGAATTTCTCTGGAGAGAACTTCTCTGGATTGAAATTTCTCTAGATCAATGTTGAGGGACCTTAGACATTATAAAATAGCTGTCGAAATTCGAGATGTTGTTGAAGTGTGATACCTTTAAGGCGAAGCCTGCGCTGTTGACGCAGGGCAACTACAAATATGACAAAAGAAGTTGTTCTCCTACCAATTTAAGAAATGCTTTGACCAATTTGAGCCCTGATGGTAATTTATTGCAGGAAGTAAGTTCAGATTTTTGTTGGTCTTATCATCATATTTGCACCCTTCTCCAAATTAGTAAATTAAGAGGTCACTTTTGTTACTGATTTGCTGATTTTACAAGCACAGATGAATGATGCTTCTAAAGTTTTTAAAGCCATTTTGGGCGTTCTTCATCAATCATTTACTTCTGATTCTGCTTTTTCCTATACTAAATCAGCAGGGAGCAATTGCACAGTCTCTTGATGCTTGTATAGCACATACAATTCTTGGAGACTCGTTGAATCAAAACCAGTGAGAATCCATGGTTTGCGTGGTTCAATCTGCTGTTCCACGAGGGAGGAAAACTTGTCCAAGAATAGCTCTCTCTATTTTCAGAATCCAGGGCTCTCTCTCTCTCTCTCTCTCAAAAAGATTACAGCAATTATGTTTTCTTAAATGTCACAGTAGAAATTGGCTCTGATGATTAGTCCAGAGAAATTTGTGAAAGGTTCAAATGTTTTTTATGTTAGTTAAGAGATCCAGAGAAATTTGATGTTAGTCTAGAGAAATTTGGGAAAGGTTCAAAGGTTTTTTTTGTGTTAGTTTTGAGATCCAAAGAAATTTGGTTAAAATGAAACCAGAGAAATTTGAATTTTCTCTGATTTATAAATGAATCTAGAGAAATTTGAATTTGAATTTGAACCCAAAGAAAATTGGACAAAATAAATCCAGAGAAATTCTTTGGAAAGTCCAGGATTTCTCTAGATTGAAATTTCTCTAGATCAATGTTGAGAGACCTTAGACATTATGAAAATATTGAATGCCCTTTATGTTATAAAATCTTAATATTAGGGATCCTAATTTTTTTTTTTAGCACATCCTTAATAATACCTCTAGCCAAAAGGGAGTAGGAAAAATTATAGAAAAATGGAAAGCACTTAAAATAATTGTCAAAATGTGGAGAAGAAAAACTCATCGTACTCGTAAAAGAATAAGAGTGATTCTATTTACACGCCTCTAAAATTTTCGGTATACATTATTACTTAGTACACACACAAAATAATTTTTAAGATTTAAAAATATTTTAGTTCACACCTGTAGACACCCCATTTTTTACCGTCCTCGGGACTTGGTTGTGCTTGCAGGTACACCCAACAACTAGTTCGACTGCTCGCCGAGTACTCGACTGTCGCGGCGGAACGTCACCGGTTCGAGCTTCCCGGACCTTGTATCATTTCTGCCCCATTTTTGGACCTTGGCTAGGTCCTTTCAGAGTGACCCTTTTGGTGCACTGCCGGCCATGGCATGGAACTGCCGGCCATTTCTTTGCTCTTGCCGGCCACTGGTGAAGCCCTGCCGGCCATCAGTGAGCCACTGTCGGCCATTGATGATGGCCGGCACCCCCCCTGTCTCAGCTGGTTTTCTTCCAGATCTTTTGAGCCAGCTGGTTTTTTGTTTGCTTCCCTCCATACACGTGTATAGAGGGATGAAGCCCTTGTAAGGCTTCTTGAAGAAGCTTTGGCTTTACATTCCTCTATATAAGCAAGAGGGCTCCCTCTTTGCCAGAGTTTCTGAGTTTTGGAGAGCAAAAACTCCCTTTGTCTCTATATTGTTTGTATTTTGTGCTTAGAAATTGGATTTCCTTGCACTTTTACACTACAACACCTAGATATACACCACCACCATTGAACCAAGCTTCTTGGGAGGTCTTCTTGAGGTCTGAAAGCAAGCTTCCATCCCCTGAAATTGCTGGTTTCGAAGAGGGTCTTCAAGGGTGAGCATTTCTCCCATTTTTGTACTTTTTTGCACCTTGCTTTAGCCCTCTTTGAATATTGATTTAGGATTTTCTTATAACTGAAAAAAGTCTTATTTTTAAGTGCTTTTTAAGTTTGGTTAAGGTCATTTTGCTGTTTGGGGTGTGTAGCCCCCTTTGCATGCTTTGTTTGGCTTTGTTTTAAGCCATATCTTGAGGCCTCCGAGCTAGCCTTGGTTTGGCCTTCCTACCACTGAAATCCAGTGGGATTTTGGTGGTAGAGGTGTGGTTTTGAGGTCCTAAATCAGAGGGGGTAGTCCCCTCTCTTTGTGTCCCTCTTTACTTGCATTTTTGGCCTTCCAAAGGACCATCCTTCTATGTATTTTTGAGGCTTGGTTCAAGCCTATTTTTGTGACTTCTAGGACCTGCCTTGACCCTATCCATAGTTGGTTTGATCATCCTTTGCATGCTCCATATAGGTGCTTAGTTTGTGTTGAGTCCATTTCAGTGGGTTTTTGGTGATGTTTTACCATGCCATGAACCTGTTTTGGGTTGGTTTTGTTACTTCATGCTTGCCTGATATACTTGTAATGTAAATCTCCTAAACTAGCTTCATATG